GGAAAGTGCTATTGTCTCCACCAATCCACAATCCACTCAATCCCAAAAGCTCATTTTAACTCTTACCTTATCTGCTCCCTTGCAGCTTTTAATGCTACTGGTCACTTCTCCTGGAAGAGTTTCTAGGACCCACTCCTGCTCACTCCCTTTATCCAACATTCATCCAATAATTACTCAGTGAGCTTCTGCTATATGCTAGTTGTAACCTGGGCTATAGAGAGCACTGGATGCTTCCTTTCACTATTCTTAAGCGACTGGATGTTACTTTTTATTCCTCTTCAAAGAATTCACCTCTTCTCCCTAATCTTTTAACACTGAATTCTCAAGCTCCAACCTTACTCTTCATATACCTACTCTGTTAATCATAACTCTTTTTCTGCTAGCAATATGCTTATAATTCCTCAAGTCTTATCTATACCTTGAATTTTTCTTTTTTTAAAAAATCAGAGTATTAGGCTCAGTACTGACTGTATTTCTCCAATGAAATATCTAATAGGGTTTTGAATTAATAACTCTAAAACCTTTTTTCATTCCATGTGCTCCTCTCTCAGTTTTATCCAGAATGTAGAGGCAACCTCTCAAGCCAATACTCAGCAATTTCATCCTTCCCATTGCAGAGGCCACACCATTGGAGTTATCTATTCCTGATGCTTTTCTTTTCCTCCCAAACCAAATCCAATCAATCAAGAATCCTGCTAACTCTACACTTATGATACATCTACAATCCAGCCTCTTCTCAGTCTTTCTACTACTCACATTCTGGATAAGGCTTACGCCCTTTTTCTCAACTACTGTAGCAAGTTTCTTGTTGGACTCCCTACTTTTGCTCCTTTCTGTCCTTTAACCTATTCTTAAAACATGGGTAAAATGGTCTTAAGGTTTTAGAACACATTATACCTCCCTTTAAGTCAGAATACATATATATGGTTCCTGCTTGCCATTTAGCTCAGAATAAAATCCATGGCCTTGTTACAACCTATAAGGTTCTACATGATCCTGCTTCCTTCCTCCAGCCCCCACCACCTACTTTTCTCCTCACCCACTGAACTCCACCTATACTGGTCCCTTGCTGTTTCTCAAATATGCTCCTGCCTTAGGGCTGCTGAAGTTGCTTTTCCTTCCACTGATAACCACACGGTTCTCTTTCTCACCTCCTTCGGTCTTCTTTATTATCTTCCAGTGAGGTCTTCCACTGAAGAACTTTCCACCACTGTATCTGAAATTACGAATGGCTGCAAACTGCCAACAATTCCCAGGACTCCCTACTCTCCCTTTCTCTCAAATACTTATCACCACATCAGCCTTAGCATTTGGCTCTCTTGCTCACTGTTGTATCCCTCAAACTTAGAACAGTGCCTGGCACACAGAGTTCCATTCAGCTTCTTGAACTGAAAACACAGAGACGAGCAAATGGACATGAATAACAGATTTCATCCAAAGAGAGCTAACAAAACCCTCTCACTCTCAGTCGTTTGAAAACAAAGACCTGAGGATAGCCAGAATGCCAAAAACATACCCCTTAATTTCTTACCTCTCTACATTAACTCTACAGTACACTGCTAATGTAATAACTACCACGTGAAAGTCAAAACATAAAAACTATAGAATTAGGATGACTTTAATTTTTTGTAAACCTAATTTTACTTTGCTTTTTACATAATACGAGCTGTTTGTATACGTTGTTCAGATTTTTTCCATATTTTCAGCACAATTTCATTACATTTAGGAGACACAAACTTATCATCACTGGTATCACTAATTTTGTATGTTTTATTCTCCTAGTCAATTTTACAATGGAAGATTCACAAGCAATAAACCAACCAAAGCTGTTGCATAACTGGGACAATGTTGACTTACACGTATGGCAGATAACAAAAGTAAGAGCACAAACTTAGCTAATAATCAGAAGCCCAAATTCAGCAGTCCAAAGGCAACTGATTAGCAGCATAATGTACAACCTCATGAGGAACACATTATAGTACCTACATTAAAGATGTGAAAGCAAATACTTAAAAAGCTTAGGTAACTTGCCCTAAGTCATACAACTACTGCAGGATTAAGCTGAATCTAAATTCATTCTCAGGTAAGAAGTGATATGAAACATAGCACCAGTACTCAAAAAAATATGAAAAATTGCAAAATGTTACCACCACTTATACTTTTAAATATATTTTCATGGCATCAACAATATAATTTACAAAATTATAACAATCAAGTACAGATCACTTGTATCTGAAATCATTTAACCTGTCCAGATATCGCGACAATTCTGAATTTTCAAAGGAACAAAAGTTTGATTTGGAATTTCTGTTCTTTTTTCAAGGAAAAAAAAAAAAAAAAAAAAACCCTGAACCTTTAACTACGGGATTTTCATTCAGATTCTCCCAACTTCTCAAAACCACAATGACTTAGAATTCTAATCTAAATTATGTTTCGTTCTTATTAAGGAATTCTTATTTTAAAGGTTCTTACTAAAGAATTATTGTTCTAATAATAATAATTATTATTATTATTGTGCCATGATAAGGACAATTTTTTAAAGGTCGCATTTCTAACAGAATTGTAAGATAAGCAGTACAAACAGTAACTTTTACTCTCATTTCACATCTAGAAACAAAGCTACAAGGTTTGGAAATTTGCCCAAAATGACAACACTGCAAATTTTGTCCTCAGATGGTCGTTCTTTAAAATTTTCTTCCCTTTCTCCTCGTGTTATATTGACTGTACGGGCCTCTCTCGCTTTTCAGGCTAGCCCCTCACAAATGACAGCCAGCCGGGATGCGGAAGACCCCGAGAGATAGACTGGGCTGTCCTAGAAGGCTGGCAAAAAGGACAAAGGGGAGACAAAGATAATCTGACTCCCTCATTGACCTTGTCTGAAGGAATGTCTGTAGGTCTGAGCCACCCACCAGATTAAGGAGTCCACCAAGGCATCTCAGGTGAGTTTACCAGGGTGCACCGCAGCTACCTGGGGCCCCTGACACTCGCCACCACAGATAACTTGGGTCTCCACCCACAGCCGCCCAGGGAAAGAACATCTCGGCTCCTCTCCCAGCCTAGATGATAAAAAGCCTGTCCTTCACGCACCAGGACTTACCTGTCGGGTCATGAGAGATTTGATTTTTTGCATTTCGAAATCGTGAGCCGATTACAATGCCGCAAGGAGCTAACAAATCACACCGAAACACCACACAGCTGGCCCTAACACAGGGCAGCCATAGTGAGTGATCACGTGAAGTCGCTAACCGGGTCAGCCTGTCTTTCCCTGAGCTTCCTGGGAGTTGTAGTCTTCCTTCGCCATCCGGCGGCTACAGGGACAAAAGAAAGCAGTCCGAGAACTACATTTCCCAGCAAGCAAAGCGGCGGGTGTTTCGCTTAACCCTACAAAACTTACTGAAAGCGCTCCATTGCTAGGAAGGAAATCACAGTACTAAGTAGCCAAACCTTGAGCTAAGCTACAAATACTGATGAGGCAAAAAACAAACTGGTGTGGTCTACAAGGGCGGGGCGGCAGAACGTGAGACTGACACAAAAGTGGTCATCCTCCGGAAGGGGCATTTTCCATGAGGTGACCTGAAAAGCTGGAACTCTCCAGGTGTCTGTGGGTATGACCTGAGGCAGGGCGTGGCCCAGGTGGCCTAACAGGCAACTGGCCAAAGTTAAGACTCTTATCTTGTTCTTGGCATCCCTGCAAAAGCCCTAAAATGAAAGGATTTTGATTGACTTCCACCTGTGAGGTTATTTCCTATAAATCCAAAGGCAAGTGAGAGAGAAAACATGGCATTAATGATGTGTACAAAAATCACTTCGAAGTCCTTCTTGCAATTTTAGCAGTTTAGTCAAATTATTAAAATGATAGAGAAGCCTTTGAGGACTCTTATTTTTAAAAAATTTTTAAATTATGAAAATATCAGAAAAATGTATCTCTAGCATTAGCAGTAGTCTTGAATATTATTGAAAGCTTGTGTGAAAGGAACTCTACTAATAACTTCACATCTGTCATCTCATTTATCTACATTAACATCCTGTGAGTTTATTACTGTTATCTCCATTTTTAAAATAATGAAATAGGTATGGGGAAATTCAGGAACATGCCTAAGATTACCACAAATGAGCAAACTAATAGAAGAACTGCTTGTTTAGATACCATAAGGGCTTCATGTGTTGTACTAAAGTGTCCTAAAGCATAATACCAGTGACATGTTAAATTTGCATTCATTTTAATGCCCATTAAAATTGTGACTTAGGATAAATACTAAGTCATGTTAATCTCATGATAAATATTAGGTAAATAATACGGTGTTAGTCAAAGATGGAAATAATAAAGGTGGCTTACAACTGACTGAAATCTGGGAAACATTAATATAGAGGCTATTTTCAAATCTCAAATTCTATTTGACCTTTCAAAGACTTTTTATTAATTTTTACTAAAGAAGTTGTAATATTTGACAGGATTTTATAAGGATAAAATGAGATGATGTCAGTGAATATAATTTATAAATTGTAGATATATATGCTATGTCATTATATCAGTCATAATGTTCCCAGTTTTCTGCTCCAACAGAACTACCAACATACTGTTGTCACTGTACTTAGCAATTCCTCTTGAAATTATGCATTTTCCTATATCTGTCCTTTATTCTGTTGTTTCTGACTTCTTAAAAAATTTCCCACAGGGCATGGTGGCACACACCTATAATCCCAGTACATAAGAGACTGAGGCAAGAGGATCACAAATCCGATCCTAGCCTGGG